ATGAAGGCGGTGGTGGTTATTGTAGTGATAATGATGTCTCGAATATTTTTTTAATGTTCATTTGTTATTTATTTATTTATTTATATACAATATTTATTTTATAAGCTATAAAATACAAACACTTATAATAAACTTTTCTTTAAATATTAGTAACTATATATTAATTGTATTTATAGGTAAAACATAATTGTGTAATAAAAAATTAGGGGGATTTGAATAGAGTTTCATATTATTGAACATAAGAGAGAATAAGTCAAAGTAAAATTCGTTGAAAATTGAAATTATGTCGGAGTCTGGTGAAGCACGTCGTGTCTCCTTGGGATTTAAACGCTTATAAACGGAAACTGTACCGTTGTTGTTCATGATAGCAATATTTAAAAAATAAATTAAAAAAATAAAAATAAATAAATAAAAATAAAAGAAAATAATTAAGTAAAAGTATACGTAGGAGTCTTGGCCACCTGAACATAATTGTCCACCATGGTATGGATATGCTTTGGCGCCTACGAACCAGCCTTCACGTATGGGTACATACGAACTAACTATAATGATGACACAACGAAAAATATTTTTTAAAGCGCATCGGTTGTCAAGTGGGTCAACAAGGAGCGCGATCCCCAATGAGGAATCAGATCAAAAAGTCTGCAATTGGAACAAACTTTACTCAACGAGAACTAGAGGAAAACAATGCTGAGAACAGTCCTCACAGAGACCTTCTGTTATGGTCGAGGTCCTTGTACCACGGTGATGGTCCAAGGTAGAACCAATAAAGAAGAACTCGAACACGGATATGGAATAACACAGATATATTACAAACAGGAATATATACAGAGAATAGAAGTGTTAGTAACAACAATCAGATTTAGTAGAGAGAACAATGTAGTCTCGACCAGTATCACTATTCCAATGTCTTGTAGTAATTGCCTGAACGCGACTGTGTTTCGGACTGCCTCTGACTCGACTCTTGACTCGACTGACTGACAGACTCCTGACGGACTTCTGACGGACCTCACTCCAGACTTCAGATTGAACAGTATTTAGTCACCCCCCCCCCACGAGGGCATCATGTGGCAAAAGGCCGGTTTAACGTGGGATCTCTGAGCCCGTGGGCACGGCCAAAAATATGCCCTTTGAACCCGTATAAACGGGTTCAGGGTCGGTTTACCTCGCCGAAAGAGACTCCGCCCTTCGGCGTAGCCTCGTTCGGGTTCTTCTCCGCCCGAAGGCAGAGAGTTAAACCGATCAGCCGGTCGCCCGACTTCAGGCTGAACGGTATTTAGTCACCCCCACGAGGGTATCATGTGGCAAAAGGCCGGTTTAACGTGGGATCTTCGAGCCCGTGGGCGCGGCCAAACATATGCCCTTTGAACCCGTATAAACGGGTTCAGGGTCGGTTTACCTCCCCGAAAGAGACTCCGCCATTCGGCGTAGCCTCGTTCGGGTTCCTCCCCGCCCGAAGGCAGAGAGTTTAACCGACCAGCCGGTCAGCCGGTCGCCCGACTTCGGACTGAACTCCCTGCTTCCTCTTGAGGCGCAGTATTTATTATGTATGGAATAGTCCATTATTTTATTATGGGTAAGGTCCCATAACACCTTCTATATTTATTAAAAGAAAATCCCACAAAAAGAACAATAAAAAAGTGGTCTAGGGAAGTGTATATTGAAGTAATGTTAGTCATTTACACCGCCACGATAAATGCAACAACGACCAAAGCTGCTTGTAATACCTGGCGAGAAAAACACACCTCATACTAAGCATCGATGCCAACAAATTAGTCAATGTCAGGCGTGACATCATCAGAAAAAAGAATACCTGAAAGAGAACTCGAAAGCATCCGAAAAAATATCATAGATAGATTAAACATTAACATCGAGGGACTAAACGGCAAAACCCCAAAGGAGACACATGCAGAGGAACAAATAGAAACCTGTTGAAATGGCTAGATGTAACCGTACGTTCTATGATAATAGTTCCTTCTCTTGCACTTCTCGCTTGTGGAACTTTCTTATGGCTTTTTGCTTTCCAGCCAACTTTGATATTCACAAAAGTAGTTATCTACTGTCTTCTTGATTCCTATTCTTTTATTGTTCTTTCTCCTTAATAATGTTTTCCTTTTCTTGTATTCTCTCATACTCAGTAACCTTTTGCGTCTTAGTGGCTTTACTGCCTTGCATGGGGTGAAATGATAAAAAAAACACTGATAGGATTTTCTTGAAAGTTTTACTATAGTTCAACCATATTCCAGCACATAGTTACATTTTCTGGGAGAGATGGCATAATCTGGTGTGATCAGCAGTTGAACAAGGCTAGTGGGTTGGGACCCTTGGTTAAGGTGACTTGTGACATTGTTAGCACGATTATTGTCGAATTCAGAACAGTTTCATTTAGCCAATTTCTCACAAAATGTTTGGATTAAAACGTGGAATTGTTTTCAAGCAGTTCCTAACGATTTCGCCCACTGGGAACTTCTCCCCCAAACCGATATCATCAAGAAGTGACCCCCCTGGACAAATCGATCACAGTGAGATGCGAATCGGAGTCTCAATGACAGAATGAGCTCTATTATTTGCAATTCTTATTTTGTACATTTAACCTTAAGCAAATTAAAATATCTATTTAGGGTACAGCAAACGCTACACATGGCTTGACCAACCGCGCATGCGCTGAAAATCCTAATAGCAGCAGCGACCTCTTTTCAGCTTTTGGGCATGCGAAAAAAAAAAAATGGAAACATACGTAGCACGAATACCAAGAGGCTAGCCCTCTTTCACACCGCGCTACAGGCGTGGTCGGACATTAAACTTAACAGTTCAATGCAACCCCATTCGCCCGGTTTACACACCTCCCGGTCTTTTGAACAGGGTTAGAGATTTATCCCTTGTTTTCTTCTAAAGTTTTCTCATTCTCTTTTAATCCCCTGTACCCCCTTGCATCTTAGTAGCAATATCGCCTTGCTTGGGTGAATTGGTTAAAAAAAAATCCATTTCTCCCTTTTGACATGGATTATCATGAGAGCATTCCTTAAATTTACAATGTGTCAGACATTATCCTTGAACACCGTCTATGCAAAAAGTTTCTGCTAAAATAAAATTTTATATCTCATTTTATTCATTTGTTCAATTTGTCTATTTCTTTCGAACGATTCAACATGTGCACTTTTTGTTCGTCAATCCAAGATACAATATTATTTTAACTACCTTCACTCCTCGGCAATGTCTGTTGTTTTAAAAACTGATGATTAGAATTTTAATAAAACACAAACCTATGAAAATGAATTTATACATTTTCTTTGTTCTTTGAGAGTTTACAGCAAAAATATTAAACGCTATTTATTTATTAGATTGTTTATTTACAACAATTTTGTATTTACAATATTCTAAAAATGCCAACCCTAAAATCGCGAACCATGTAATACAATGCAATGTTTATCATTTATCAATTTATAAAGAAATAAATATGAAAATAATTTTTTATTAATCAATATATAAAAAATATCTGTGAACAAGAATATTTAAATACACAGATAATAACAGGTATCTGTAAATTTAAATTTTGAAAAAAATTCATTTTCATGTTGCAATCCATTGATATTTTTATAAAATTATGAATAAAAAAACTTGTTTCATAGTTATTTATAAAATGGTAAATAATAAATATTGCATTGTAGATGGGTGAGAAACTTTTATAATTTTGTAATATTTTAAAAATGTTTCAATAAAAAAATATATTTTCATATTTATTTCTTTATAAAATGGTAAATAATAAATATCGCATTGTACTTGGCACATGATAAATAATATATCTTTGTAAAAGGGTAAATAATAAATATCGTACTTGACACATGATAAATAATATATCTTTGTAAAAGGGTAAATAATAAATATCGTACTTGACACATGATAAATAATATATCTTTGTAAAAGGGTAAATAATAAATATCGTACTTGACACATGATAAATAATATATCTTTGTAAAAGGGTAAATAATAAATATCGTACTTGACACATGATAAATAATATATCTTTGTAAAAGGGTAAATAATAAATATCGCATTGAACTTGGTTCATATGTCTTTTTTAATAATTTTGTAAATTAACATTGCCGAGGGTGTCAAAAGAGTATACAGTAACAGCGGTTTCAAGGAAATAACCATCATTTTGACACCGTTTTTTGGCGGGCATAAAAGTTAACGTTTATCGAGCATTTACTATAGTAAAAGTTCCCAATAGAATAAAAATTCTGTCTAATTTTGTTCAATCTTTTGTTTATTCATTTCTTTCGATCAATTCAAACACTATTTGCTTTTGTTTGTCAACACACGATACCTCCTCAACATGATATGACGAAACAAAATCAATGTTGTAGTTTTATTTTTCGCCAGTGTATAAATAACTATTATAAACCTGTGTGTATGATTTCCTTATTTGACTGAGTGCGCATGCTCGAGTGATAGCCATGTGCATGCGCACATGATCAGTAATTATCTCTGTTCTCTTGCTTTATAACCAACAATCATTCGTTGTGACGCTCCTGTAAGACAACCGGAAAACTTATTTTCTACAAGCGACAAAGACGCCAGAATTGCCATTCTTTCTTTTCTCTCTTTTTTTTTTTTTAAAAAAAACTGACTGCGTCATCCTTGAAAAGAAAAGAAAAGACACCCACGCAGTCAAGCAAAAGAAATAAAGTTAAAAATAGATAGAAGAGTTTATTGCAATGCATTGTGTATGAGTAAAAATTTCGGATTCATTGTTAATGGCAACTGATATAAAACTGGAAGAGATATTGAAATAGAAGGATCGGACAAGAGATGCGGAATCCCTACTCATTAATATAAATACATGAGTTTATTATAATAGATTTTACGTAAAGGAAAAATCTGTACTCCCGTCTGAAAGTGGCAGATATAAAAATAAAGAAATTAATTGAGTCGAAATGGAAACAAGCGTAGAAAACTGACCAATGTCTGATCAATAAATAATAATATAAGCGATGACGATGGTGACTGGAACCCAAACTAAACTGACATCATATCCTGAGTTAAAAGATGGGCCTCGAATGAAGAAGTGGTTAGGGAGTCAGTCTCAAAAGTTAATTCTACTGAAATGAGTTTGTCTTTTATTAGATACTACTGTAATTCTACGCTAAGTTAAAATTAACATTCGTAGACAAGGAACGTCAGAAGTTGGAAAATTTTCATGCCTCTGTGTCTCTCTTTATGATAAGATAAAGAACAAATAGGAAATATTTGTCAATCTAACATGTTTCACTTTTATTAAAGCTTCATCAGAGAATGTGATCTTATTCTCTGATGAAGTGGTCGGATCTATATTTTATCCCAACTCATATATATATATATATATATATATATATATATATATATATACGCTTAAATTCACCTTCATCCCTGGTGTGCGCCAACGGCTTAGGGGTAGATTCGTAGATTCTCCGACTGACGCCAATTCAGCCAAGTTTCGATAGTAGCTAGAGTCAACTGGACGTCTAGTCACACTGATGAGCTGTGATACAGCGAAACAGTCTGTCTGTGGATGACAATATATATATATATATATATATGCGATATTTATATATATATATATATATATATATATATATATATATATATATATATATATATATATATATATGAATAAAATAGACCATCAGGAAATTGTAGTTAGTCCTTGCCGACGAGTTTCGTCACTTGACTTTATTAAGACAAGTGATGATAAACAAAAGCTAAATGTTTCACTTTTATTAAAGCTTCATCAGAGAATAATAATAAAAATTCTAATAAACGTGAATTTTGTTAGATTGATAAACTTAATAAAAAAATTCTATCAGATCAATATTTGATCCCAACTCTCGCAAAAACGTACCCCATATATATAACGTCATCCAAAGACAGACTGTTTCGCAGCTCATGAGTGTGGCTAGACATCCGGTTGCCTCTAGCTAGGATCGAAACCCGACTGAATTGGTGTCAGTTGGAGATTCTAACCATTAAGCCGTCGGCGCACGGTAGGGTGGAAAGTGGATTTATAACGTATTTATTTTTAGAAACACGCCCAGTGACCGACAGTGACTCAATTCGCATCTGTGAAGAGTCTCGCTATATAGCTATAATAGTCACTGTTTACCAACCCACACCTCGTCCCCAGAGAGCTCAAATGAAATTGATATTTCATGAGCCAATATAATTCCTTTCATTCATATATATATATATATATATATATATATATATATATATGAATGAAAGGAATTAATTTTTATTTATTAATCCGACAGATTTTATTACGCAAAGGTTATCAGCCATTATATATATATATATATATATATATATATATATATATATATATATATAGAGAGAGAGAGAGAGAGAGAGAGAGAGAGAGAGAGAGAGACTTTGAATGTAATTTTGTTGCAGGGGATAATAAGTTCCTATAGATAAATGTTCATGCACATGCCTACATAAAGTAAGTTACATTGACAATCTATGCTAGGGAACACTTAGCTTTGAGAATTTTGTCACTGAACCACTAGTCGGTACTATATTTATCAAGAAGGTTAACTGATTCTAAAAATAATTATAATTATAATGGATGTTTTATCAATTGTATAGACCACAAACTGGGCATGTCATTTTTTTTTCAAGGCATAAAAACACTACCGAAATCTGATTACAGACCACTAGAATTTATTTTTAACTCTATAAGGAACTGTCAAAAGTTATGCGTTCCCAGATATTAATATGGATCATCTGTTTCATGATATTTGATTCTCATATTGTGTTTGTCCAGGGAAATTCGATTCCTCCTGCTGATGTTCTTTCAAGATTATGGTTTCTACCGGAGCAGAGAGAGTTTAGTTCATAGAACATTGGATTGGAATTGGCGTGATATCAATGAATCGCTTAGCTTCTGACAAATTACGCGATGCCGATGTTGAGCTTCTTTATGGGGTTTTTTCTGGCTGAACTTCTGATTTGAATCAATCTTTCTTATCAAACAGCGAAATGAATATCGTTTGAACGGCCACTCTTCAAGATCTTTTTTGCATGAATGTGTGTACCACCACTAACAGGGCTCTATCCTTAGACTCATGTTGTTCCTAATTTTCATCAATGACCTACCCAATGTCATAAGGTCTTGATTCGGTACCTACACCGATGACGCAACTATTTACTCCTGTCTTAATGGTAAGCCTGATAGTTTCTAAAGTCAAATTGAGAGCTGATCTCAAAAAGAACCTACAATCAGATGTTAACTGGGGCAAGACATGACTTGTTAATTTTATCAACTCTAAAGCGAAACTGTTCTCTTAGAGACCTATTTTTGCCTTCCACGAACATAGCTGATGTTAACCTCTCGTAGAGTAATTGATTACGCCATCCCGGTTTGATGTGTTTCACTGACATGAAAAAAAAAAAAAGCCGGAAAAATACAATCATTTCCCTACTGAGATTTCGTTTGGTTTCAGATGTTAAAGACTGTTCAAGATTTAGTCATTTTTTTCATTTCGGTTTCTTGTAATATATCCATTTGTTATCATTTGTGATTATCTTGTCAAAAACATTTTTCTTTCTCGAACGAGAAACAAATAGAAGTGTTGAAACAATGATTGGTTTTAGTTTCGGTAAGTTAATCTGGAAGCCATTTTTATAGCGTCAGAATTTACTTTTTACAAGGCTTTTAAATGACCTACTAGAGTTGACTGATTTGACAAGTAATAAAGAGCTAAGTAGATTTTTAAAACACTGCTATTAATACATATAGACAAGAAAACCAACACCGGGGGGTTAAAGATTTATTCAAACGACTAAAAGGGGAGGGATAATTAAAACACGAACGTTCGTGTTTTAATTATCCCCCTTTTAGTCGTTTGAATAAATTTTGAATAAATGTTTTTTTCTTGTGTTTTTCTTGTTTTTCTTGTGTTTTTTCTTTTTCTTTGGTCACGTGGTATGATTTTGATTATCGCCTATAAATATGCTGTTTCTCTTTTGCCTCTTTAGCCAGCTTTCCCTAACGATCCGCTTAGGTGAAACCTGGGTAGGTTTGTCTGGCTCACTAGGTTTAGCTAGGTCTGCTCTACGGTTGTCTCGAGGTCTTTTGTTAGTTAGTTGCTTACTCGTGTCGGGTTTTTTTCTTTGGGCTTCAAACCTGTATCTGTGCGATTTTTTTCAACAGACTTTCATGTTTCTAGCTCTTTCTTTTTTTAAAACCTTTTTTTCCTTCGTGATTGATTTGATTATTGGCAAATCAAGAATTCGAAGGTTTTTCGAAACGAGTATAGTTACCTATATATATATATATATATATATATACATGCGAGGGATTATATATATATATATATATATATATATATATATGATGACGTCACACATTATGAAATGGACACAGTCCGACAATTATTTTAAGACATTTTTATGTTTATACATTCTTTTTTTTATAGATACAAATATTTAAGTAAATGCTATATTTATAATAAACAGTATTAACAACATTTACCGGCCTGAATGTCCGAGAAATTATCATAGAAAATATGCGTCCTCCGACAGGAATCGAACTTGTATCCTATACGGAACCGTCATATAGCCTGACGGTCTTTTTTACCTATTTCGCCACAGAGCTACGTTATGTTAGCAATTCTGATTTTACTGTTTTTAAACGACCATCTTCCATGATTCTCTCATGTACATTCATATCTGCTCAATGCGTATCCAAATGTAAACAAATGACGTCACACATGAAATGGACAAAGTTTAAAAACAGTAAAAGCGACCTTGCTAACCGAACGCTCCTCTATGGCGAAATGGGTAAAAGCACATCAGGCTATATGACGGTTCCGTATAGGATACAGGTTCGATTTTCTCTGACAATTTCTCGGACATTCAGGCCGGTAAATGTTGTTAATACCTCTTTATTATAAACAGAGCATTTACTTAAATATTTGTATCTATAAAAGAATATATAAACATAAAAAATGTCTTAATTATATATATATATATATATATATATATATATATATATATATATAAGCGAAGGTGCTTGGTCGAGTGGTTAGAACCTGATGTTATCAGTCCGACGGGGGACGATCCCAGCGTGCGGCACCTTTGGAAAGTGCATGAAAACCATATCACTCTTGTGAGTCAAATCGCGTAGAAGGAGCCCTAGCACGAAGTCACAAGTCATCGTGACCGAGGGTTTGATTGTGTTGGCCTTGTTCAGATTGTTGATCAATCTAGATAATATGCTTTCTCCCAGAAACTGTAACTAAGGTCTGCTCAGCATAGTTGCAACATAAACCAAAGGTTGGCTCTGTCGGTGTTGAACAAGCACAAACGTGCCTGAGCGAGCGTCTACAATAGGGATTGGCTAGCCACCCTAGTAGACGGGTATCCTCGACTACGATTGGCCAGCTATTATATATATATATATATATATATATATATATATATATATATATATATAGAGAGAGAGAGAGAGAGAGAGAGAGAGAGAGATAAATAGATATACAAATAACAATGATTTATTAAAAACTCAATAATTAAAGAAGAAAAACTCCGATCCATGTACATGCAATCAGAAATTGTTTATCCGGTATGGAGCAATCTAATTGGTTAATTAATTTTTCTTATGGTAACAGTTCCGCCCATCTGCACAGATATACGCCATTAAAGCAATCAGGGTGCGGTAAAAATAATTCTGCTTCAGAGGCTTATGAAATTAACTGATCAAAAATTCATAAACAAAGAATATAGAGGAAATCAAGCTCATCTATCTTTCGAATTGATTTTTTAGCTTTATTTTAAGTACAATAGTTTGTTTATCTATCTATCGCGGTTTATTCTTATATATCTATCTTTCTATCTATCTCGGTTTATTCATGTCTATCTATCTTTCTTTCTTTCTTTTTATCTATCTATCTATCTATCTGTGAGAACCATTCCAGACATTTTTGGAGAAAAGACATAATTTATTCGCTCGCTGCAAATTCTTTCTGTTTCTTTCATTCTCAGCCTTTTCTTATCCATCTCAAATTATTCGTATCATTCTCTCTTCTTTTACCGTCTTCTTCATTCTCTCTTTTCTCCCCGGTCTGTCCATTCTCTCTTCTTTTCACGGCCTGATCATTCTATCTTTTTTTTTTTTCTCGGCCTTTTCTATATCTCTTTTTTCACGGCATGTTCATTAGCACATTTTCCTGGTCACATTTTCTTTCTTCTTTCCCTGGTCTGTCCATTCCCCCGACCACTTCTATATCTCTCTTTTTTTCATTTGTTCATTTCTCCCTTCTTTTTCAGGTTTGTTCATTTTCTCTTCTTTTCTCGGCCTGTTCATCATTCCCTTCTTTTCTCGGTATGTTCATTCTCCGTTCTTTTCTCGGGCTGTTTATTCTCTCTTTTTTTTTAGGCCTATTCGTTCTCTCTTTTTTTTCTAGGCCTATTCGTTCTCTCTTTTTTCCCCGTCTGTTCATTCTCTCTCTTTTCCCTGTTTGTTCATTCCCTATTCTTTTTCTCGTCTGTTCATTCTCTCTTATTTTCCGTTCTGTTCATTCTCTATTCTTTTCCTCGTCTATTCGTTATCTATCCGGTTACTTATCTATGTTTGTATTCATAAATTCATATAGTCAACAACTTGAAAAAGAAATTCGATGAAGGAAGAGTTAGAAAAATGATAATTGCTCAATTTCACACCAATTGCACGAATCTGAAAATGACAACAAAATCCCAAAATAATTCATATCTTTAAAACAGCGAATAAAGGTGTCTATTTTTCGTTCTCTTTCTTATTTTTATAAGTTTTTGAAAATAATTTTTTGGTTTCGTATTTCCTAACATTCATATTTCGTTATTATTTAAAAAAAAATACACATTGGATATTCGTACCCATTACAAAAGTACTTTTTTACTACTACTACTACTACTACTACTACAGCTAGGTCCTGAGTTTGACGAACAATTACATCTGGTAGCTTCTGGTAGAAGAAAAAGTGAGTCAGTAACACTACACTACACCAAATACTATGAAAGCATAAAAATACATTTTTATAGTCAAAATACCAGCAATATATTTTTATATAAAAATTACCAACAATAGATTCTTAATTTTGTTAAATTACCAAAAATACCTTTTTAAAGTAAAATAACCAACAATACATTTTATCTGCAGTTGGAAGTATATAATTGCTTTCAAAATATATTTAGTTGAGGCCATAAAATTGTGTTCAAATTATTTTGATTTCGGCCTTAAATAACCAATCGTGGTTGATATGCTGCTAAACAAAATCAATTACTATTACTATCATTTTGAATACCAGGTCCCTTCAAGACGTAGGCGATCATAATTCTCTGCTGATTTCTTTTCCTTATTATCTGTGAAATGTCTTCTTGGGAATGATTGATTAGTTGTTCTCCACGGTTTAAAATTCAGAGTTTTCCTTCTCTTAGACTAGTAGCCACCCAATGTAAAAGAACACAGTTTACCAAACTGCCGTGCATGAATCTGTCACTCTATGTTGGAGGGAGAAGAGACCGATTTGTGTCTTTCCCAAGTAAACGCAACAGATAAGATCAGCATTTGAACTCGGCTCGCTGATTCTGCTTTCCAAGCCGATATCCGTTACACTGTTCGTACATCCTACTACTCCTCCTCCTCCTATTATTATTATTATTATTATTATTATTATTATTATTACATAGATTTTCATGTTAACTCCAAAATTTTGTGTGTTGAGGATCAAGTGACCCTAAGTTTCCTTAATACTCAGGACTGATCTCAGTAGTCTTATCGATTCCATACTCTTTTTCTTCTTCTTCTTCTTCTTCTTCTTCTTCTTCTTATTATTATTATTATTATTATTATTATTTTCTTCTTCTTCTTTTTTTTCATTCTTCTTCCTGTTCTTCTTATTATTATTTTCTTCTACTTCTTCTTCTTCATTATTATTTTTTTTTTACTAAATTTAACTCAAGAGGAGAAATTAAGGAGAGAAGATAACGAGGATATGGTGGATAGATAACGATTGATCATAGAATTGAAAAGGTTGTATTCGGGGAAGCATCCACGCGGGAACTCATTTCACAAAGTAGCCGTTCTTAGAAATAAGTTTTATGAGCGGAATGCTCTTCTTACCATATGAAGGTGATTCAGCACTCTGGCTGTAAAGGTCTGAATCGGTGTCACTAAAGAATGGTGCACGTCTGAACAATCGCCATGGATGTAGCGATAGACTTGCGACGCTGCGTTTGTGGGAAAAGGACTCTAGGGTGGTCGTCCTGAGTATGATAACAAACTAAAAAAAAAAAGATACCAGCAATATGTTATGGTTAAAAAAAATTACTAGCAATACGTTCTTGTAAAAAAAAAATGAAAATATAAAAAAATGCCAGCAATATATTTTACAAAAGAAATTAATGCTCCCGCGAAAATTAAATTTTGGCATTAAATGACCCATAAGGATGTTGATATGCAGCTAAACAAGCAAACAAACAAAGACGACTGTAGGATGGAAAATAAGTCATCCAATACTGTGCAAACGATTTCGAACTCTGTCAAAGCTATGGGAAGCGTGGATTCAACAATTCCAGCTCAGATGTCAGCAATACTGACTCTTGTAAAGATGAAGAATGGTCAGTATGAGTAAGTCTTTTCAATCCTCCAATATTAGTAATCATACTAGTAAAGTATCTTACTTATTATAAAACGCAGGTTGTGTGTGTGTGTGTGTGTGTGTGTGTGTGTGTCTGTAACGTTTATATGTTGGATCGAATTTCCTACATTTTTTAGACGATTTCAACAAAACTTCACAGGACTACATAAAATTACCTTTTGGTGGTTCTAACGGCGCCGAAAATGGGAAAAACACAGTTGTTTTTTAAGAAAATCAATTTGAAAACACGATTAAGACACATCGTGAGAATGAAAGGGGGACAACTCACCCACGAAAATGTAAACAAAAGAGCATAGCATGATGAAAAAGACGCCGAACTTGACGAAAACAAAATTTTATCGTCTAATGTTCATATTATTATTAAAGAGGAAAGATCAAAGTATTTTTGGAGTATTTTTTTTACATTTTTTAATTGTTTCTAGCACGTCTGAAATTTTCGTTAAAAATATTGTTTTTTTTTGGTCAAAAAAAGGACAGATAATTAATCATTTTTAATCAATTTTTCGATTTGATAAAAAAGATTAAAATCTTACTTTGATATTCTTTTAAAAATCAATTATCATTTTTTCAAAAAACAGATATTATACTGTTTATTTAAAATATTTTGAACCAAGCTTAACTTAGCTTCTGCGCCGAAAAAATGTAATTTGAAAATAAAACAAAGCAGGTCATAACCTTTCGCGTCGCTTGACTATTTACGAAAGGCACATTCATGACGTTTAGATAACTTACGGGAGGATAATTCTTTCTACGGATGGAAGGAAGTGAAATTATTTAAGTGAACAAATTATTTACCTCGTTACTTTTAAGGAAAACTTTCAGCGCTCTAATTTTTTATTTTTTTTTATTTTTTGTACTTAGCTTTCATTTTTACGTTTACGATGCTTTATGGAAAATATAAAGAAATTAAAAAATAAGACTGTTAATAGTGAGATTAAATTTCATAAGAAAAAGGTATCTAGTTAATTTAGGTACCTTTCTTATGAAATTTTATCAGAAGTGTACATAAAATACTATAATTTTATGTACATTTATTACATTTTACTGTGTTATTTGTATTTCCATTCATTTTATTATTAATTTTGATATTTCATTTATGGAAAAATGTCATAACTGAGATTAATATAAAAATAAGATCATATAAATTAAAGTTTAGCAGTAGTTAAATTTCATAAGATGATACTGTTACTTGTAGGTACCCTTCTCAGTTGAAATTGAAAACTCAAATTAACTTCTCCATACGTGTTTCGCAAAAGTAAAGGGCTTAACAGCGGAGAACAATGCTGAACTCAAATAATGCAACTAAATTGTATTCTGGTTGGTCTTCCGTACTTGATAATTACTGTCCGACTATAAACACAAAAATTACATTTCTTAATTACCATGGCTAATCTGATTGGTCCCAATTATACAATTTTCAAAGCGTTAGACAATGACACTCTCACACGGACTTTTTGAAAGGTTGATGTTGCATTTAACTAATGTTAAAATATTTTTTAAAATTCAATTAAAACATTTTTTAAAAATCTTTTTAAAATTAAAGAAATAAGAAATAATTGTATTAAAAATTCAATTTTCATTGAAAAAATTTTTTGCTTCCAGAAAATATTGTCTATATTCATAAAAACAAATTAAAACAAATAAAAGCATTTGAAACTAAATAATATATTTGTTTTATTGAGTTTTGTATGTTACAATTCACAGCTGATTTTCAGGTACCTTGGCCAAAAAAAAAAAAAAAAAAAAAAATAAATGATTTGCATTCTTCAAAGCCTTGTGCTTTTAACTATTGTAATCACTAAAACCGATGGTCTCGAATTTCTAGAGTTTTTCATAAAATTAGTTATGGGGGTGTTAATAAATATAAAAAATATTTCTGCCATGACTTTAATAAAAAAAAACATATTTATAATAATTTCGATCATCTGTGAATAGTTTCTGAAAGTTTCATTAACATCTGACAATTATTTTTATTTTTGCAAGATTTTCCAAATTAATGTGTGTAAATACAAAAAAAAAGCGCTAAAATTATCTATGTTATTTACTACCCCTTGTTGCGACAAAGAGAAACAAGGTTTTTTAAATCAAAATTTAGAATATTCTAAAAAGATGGAAAAATTTTAAAAATAATTAAAAAAATTTAGTCTATCCTCTTCATAAAAAACATAAGCATTTTGACGATAAAATTTTGTTTTCATAAACTTTAGTCTTTTCATCAGACTATGCTCTATGTTTTAGCGATTCCGTGGAGTGACTTAGGTTAAAAACCCAGGTTGTTTCTGTGTGTGTGTGTGTGTTCCTTTATATATGGGATCGGATTTCTTACATTTTTCAGCCGATAAAACAAACATCCACTTTTTTTCGGCAGGTAGTATTTCTTATTGTCTTGCACACATTTTTCTTTATTTACATTCAGAATGCTTTAAAATTCCATTTACAAGACAATTGTTTATAATAAAATTCTATTCACCAATCGATAGACTCATAACGATTGTAAACAATGTTTTTGTTTGAGTTTGACCAATTCGTAAAAAAAAAAAAAAAAAAAAAAATTAAGACATGCGTGTCCGTCAACCTTAAACAATAATCTTTGTCAATTTTATTTTTCAGTCTTTATGATGGTCGATATTTGATCTATCTCTTACTGTTACATCCCCGGGCAACGCCGGGCTCTACTGCTAGTTAGTAATAATAGTAGCACAGTAAGTGTCGTAAAATCTCTATGACTAAAAGAAATGTAGACATTGTAGCTGAAAACAAAAGATAATTCTCTGATAACCTAAAATACGTACTGCGCACAGAGTTGAAGAACAGCAAAATCAGACGAATGAATATTTGAATAAAATTTCCTTAAATTTTACCGTTTGACCTTTATTCAAACACTTTATGGTGTAACACTTTTTTCTAAAGTTATATGTAGCAAAAGGATCTTTTCTGAGATGCCTTCCCCTTGAATGATGGTTAAGGTATCAGTCTAGCAGACCGTTACTACTACGCTATATGGTCGATCGCTACTGAATGCTAAATACATATGGCCTTGTGTTAGATTAAGCGAAGGGCTTTGTGATAGAGTAATAGCTAACAAGCTAGTCTAGAAAAGCATTATTTTTATGTAGTGATTTGGATTCTTTCCCGGTGGCCACATTGATAGGATAACCAACGTTGCTAAGAGTCGCTTTCAACTGCTTTCAATTGATGTGTGTTTCAAATGGAAAACAAACTGTACGCGAAGAAAATATTCGATAGCTAACCGAACTATAAAAAAAGAGAAAAGTAACACTGAAAACGCTTATTTGCATGCCAACAACAAGAATTATAAACAAGAACTGGAAAATTTACCTGTTGATTACTCTTTCATCAAAAAGTACCGAATATGAAGGCGTACAAGGTGACTGGGCGTATAAGACGTCCTCGATATTTTCCAATTAAAATGTAGGTTTCGGGCTATATTCGCCGTACAAGACGACTCGTATTTCAAAATATATTGTATCGTATTTATTAAATAACTCAGTAAGCATATACTTTCTCTTAACTCAAATTCTAATGAAAAAAAATGGTGGGGAGATTAGACGAAATTCCACCCTTGCATAATTTCTATATTGATACTTATCTATGCTAAGATTCTCTCTCAGTCAAATCTATTTCTCAGTTTTCCATAGAGTTAACATTGAATCTTACTGCTGTTTATCCTGAAAAACGTAAGCCATTCGAGGCTCCATTTATTAGAGACCCTGTTCCATGCTTTCCTGTAAGGTATCCTTCATACTGAATTTAATACCCTTAAGAATCATCTTGCCGATTTAAATCAAGTCAGTTGGACTTTTGCTTCTACGTTTGCATTCTTTCTATTCTTCTGGTCATAGTCACTTTTCGATAGACTTGTACATTTACTCTGCTGTTTATTCAGTCAATATTTTCCTCGAGCAAATGGTAGACACGTGTATATTGGTCTGTAGTAACTCGCCTCAATTACTTAATCAGCGTCTTTTTGGTGAGGAATTGTTTTGCCTCTGGTCACCAATTCTGAAACTCCTTCTTCAAATCTGTTTTCTCATTGCTGAACTATCGTGTATTTCTTATACAAATATCCGAACATTCTGAATGCATTTAACATTTTTTTTTCAACAGTTACTATGGAATTTGTCTGTGTTTCCTTTGACATTTACACATTTCGTTTCGAAATTATTTTGCTGATGGAGCGCATGGTTTTATGCTCCTGTAAAATTATTCCTCCATTGTTTTCGAACGTGCCATTATTATTATTATTATTATTATTATTATTATTATTATTATTATTATTATTATTATTTCCTTTGGTTTCTGTTGTGTACCCATTTCCTTCCGGATCCCAACCAGAGACCTAAGGTCAGAAATGGCTTCATGACACTTGACACTGATCATTTTTTGTAAAAAAAATAGAAAGAAAAAATGTCTAAGCTCACACACATTTTACATAGCCCTTCTTTTAGTCATAGAGATTTTACGACACTTACTGTACTTGTGAGTGCATTTTTTTTGTATTTTCTTAAGGAATGGGCTACCAGGAATCCCTTCAATGAATCTATCAGAAACTTTTCCAATCAAACTGAGAACTCCAACTACAACTGGAATTATTGATGCCCCCATTTGCCACATTTCTTCTTCTTCTTCTTCTTCTTCTTCTTCTTCTTCTTCTTCTTCTTCTTCTTATTATTATTATTATTATTATTATTATTATTATTATTATTATTTCCTTTGATTTCTGTTGTATACACATTTCCTTCCGGGTCCCAACAAGAGAGCTAAGGCCATTTTCTTTGAGTATTTTTGTAAAAAATAAAAGGCAACCTAAGAGCTCACACATTTTACATAGATTAAGCCCCACGTAAGGTGTGGGCTGTACTTGCGAGTACAATGTTTTGTATTTCTTTAAGGCATGGGCTACCAGGGATCCCCTCAATGATTTCATCGGAAACTTTTCCAATCAAACCGAGGGGTCCGACATTATTGATGGCCTTATATGTCACATTTTTGAGATTTCCACTTCATGATCCTTGTATTTTGATAGTTTTATGAAGATCTTCTTCTTGTAATAATTATTATTATTATTATTATTATTGTTGTTGTTGTTGTTGTTGCTGTTGTTGTTGTTGTTGTTGTTGCTGTTGTTGTTGTTGTTAATAAAGATCTTCCTTGGTTGTTTCGTGGCTAAACTACTCAGTAAAGTGGGCATTTCACATTTGTTTGGATTGCGTGGAGACACGTTGCAACCCACACTTGCGAATATGAAATTTCTGATTGGAGAAGCCATTTCCGGGAAGATTTACATCAGAAGAAACGTCATGTCAGTAAATACTCTGAACATTCACAAACCAATGAACACACGCGCATGCACGCGCGAGCGCGCACACACACACACAGACACACACGTGCGCGGGCTCACGCACACAGAAACATATGAACATACATTCATAGATGTGTGAATATGTATGTGCACAGGTAAGCATTCATGAATGGGAGCAATTTTTTTACTATTTTCTATGAATATTTAGTAATTATGCATATGTGTATAAATAATTACATGAAAAGTATGTTTATAGATTAGTTGGAAATACAATAAACTAAAATTTGTATGTGTACGAATTATATATATATATATATATATATATATATATATATATATATATATATATATATATATATATATATATATATGTAATCTGAAAATTTTTCGGCCAGTCACACTTCAAAAAAATCCGACTAAATATGTTTGTTTGTGGCCTATAATTTTTGGAATTTATTTAATAAATAAAAAAAATATTTCTCACTTTATTTGCATGATAGTACCTGAAAACTCGCCGAAAAATATTATTTTGTTATATATAAGGATAGATATTATCAACTGAATTTCACACAATATGATGGCCATGTAAACATACTCTAAAAAATTTATTAACGTCGGTTTGTTTATACCAATGTCAGATATTATGCGTTCCATTGTTTTAAAAGCATTGATAGGCATAATAATATCTGATATGATATATTCTTATTTAGAAATAAACGCACATACCAACATCCATCTGAATTAAGACACGTATCACAATTATATACGTGCCATTTCACAAACCCACACACGAGGGTACGACGGAAAATGAAATTCCCACCTACGTTTAAACAAGAACTATTATGCTATCAATAACAAAGAGGAATAAATAAAAGGTTTGCTTAAATATTGCTTCACATTCTTATATAAATCACTTTTTAATAATTGACCATAAGTTTTCTTTTACAGATGCTGGGATCCATTTCATTAATTTGATGTCTTTTTTTTAGTAAGGTGAATTAAATTCAGAATGCGAGGAGGCGGTGTTCTGCAAGTATATAATTTCGTCAACCGGAAATTTGTTTCTTTTTTCATTTTGTCACTCACTTTCCCACTATTTATATAGATAGCTACATCCACATATATATGAGTTTATGTCACGCACTATCTAAAATTTTATTAGGAAAAACGGCGGTTTCACAATAAACTGATGTTGGGAAAATTTTCAAGATATATTTCCGTTAAACATTAAAAAAAACAAACTTTCTGCTGGACATAAAGAGGGGGATCGGTTCTTTGTAGTTATAAATTAATAAATTGATCCAGCATAGAATTACTACACTATGTCTGATATTATTATGCAATAAAAATGAATTTTAAAACAGAATTTATATATGGTTTAAAAATTACAGCGCACATCCTTATATATATATATATATATATATATATATATATATATATATATAAAGAATGATATGTATATATATATATATGAAGAATATATATATCATAAAATGATATATATATATATATATATATGAAGAATATATATATATATATATGTATATATATATATATATATATATATATATATATCAAAATAAAAAGAAAAAACAATAAGATTATAAAACAGAGTTCTTTAACATTTATTTTTAAAAACATTACTCGATACACAGTAGTGTTTAATATTATAATTATTCTTTTTTAAAAATATGTATTCATCGCAACGCAAAAATTACCATGTTTCGATACCAAAGCCTAAATCTTAAATTAATTTTAAAATTTAAAGTTCAGTTCCATTTTTAACCTATGCAGAATATCCTTCGAAAAAAAAAAATGAAAATGGAACTGAACTTTAAAGTTTAAGATTAATTCATGATTTAGATATTGGTTTTGAAACATGGTAATTTCTGTGTCGCGATGGATACTTATTTTTTTTTTAAAAGAATAATTATAATATATATTATAAATCAATCGATTTAAAATATGTTTTTTTTTCGCTACACAGTTCTAACCATGTTTCAAAAATGGAAGCTAAAAGCTTCTAATTTAATTTCGTAATTAAATTAAAGACATTAGTTCCATTTCATCCTCAAGCAATTTTATATATATATATATATATTATTTTATATATATATTTTATATATATATATATATATATATATATATATATATATATATATATATATATATATATATATATATATATATATATATATATATATATATATATATATATGTATGTATGTATGTATTAATGAATATACATAATATCCCTCGTCGATAGCACGGCTCGGAGTTTTATGCGGAGGCGCAATCTTCAGGTGCACAATACTCACTGACCGTTAAGCGTTATGAAATTCACGTTCTCGTGGTGTTGACTTAAAATTGTGTGTTAAGACTTTTTCATTTTATTAATGATGTTTATAATGTTTAAATTATTTATATTTTACTTCGATCAAAGACTTAAGTTTGAAAGAAATGTTTGTATCATACCCATATCTATCTATCTATCTATCTATCTATCTATGGCATCTTTTATATTGATATAAAATTTTGGTATGCAACCTTACACACACACACACACATATATATATATCTTTTTTAGTCTATATACAGGATCAAAGTTTTATTTAATATCTATATTCTATCAGACATGAGGCGTATTGGGCCTAGTATTTCAAGCTGGCCCATGACGTGTAGCTGGGAAGGAGAGTTGCATTTCAAGTTATATTTATTCAAAACAAAATCCCCGCCCTAAAGAAAAGATCCTGATCTGTTATAGGGTGGGCCAAAAGTAGGCTTACAGTTATTTCAATATATGTTTCACTTTTTATATCTAATTTATCCAAATCCTAATTCCAAACTAGTATCCCCTATTCACGTTTTGGAAATATTATTCTACCATTCGTCCTTGCATTGAATACTGTTATTTTATATGGCCTGGTGCCATTGCTGTTCATCTCGAGTTTCTCGACAAAATCCAAAGACGTATATGCAATGTGATAGGTCCTGATCTGGCATCTCGACTCCACTCTCTATAATCCCAGGCGTGTTTGTGGCACTCTATCTCACCTTGTTTGGGGGTGAAATGCTTAACCAAACCTTTCCACAGGATTGGTTCGAAAGAAAGGATATAATCGAATGGCCACCACGTTCACCTGACCTAACACTAATGGATTTCTTTTCTTTGCGGGGGGGGGGTAGTAAAGAACAAAGTTTATGAGAGAAATACCCACACAGTGGACGAATTAAAAGATTACATCTCAGAAGTCTTTACTGAAATTAATGCAGGTCGGTATTTGTGTCGTACTGTGTTGTCATAGTATTCTGGAGAGGTTCGAAGAAAGTTGCGATGTTGACGGAGGCCATTTTGAGCTCTTAAGAGATTAAACTGCGCTAAAAAGATCTAAGTAAAGTGTTAAATAAATATACATAAACAGTTTTAAACAAATATGATTGTAACGAATAAATATAAATGTAATAAAATGTTTTAAAATATGTATAGTACATATCTACTAAGTGTGTGTGTGTGCATATATATGTATACATATATATATGTATGTATATATATATATATATATATATATATATGTATGTATGTATATATATATATATATATATATATATATATATATATATATATATATATATGGCCGAAACTAGTCGAGGAACCTAACTGAAATAATAAAACAAAAATATTAATTTTCAACCCAGTGTGTCTGAAAATTTTAAGTTTTTAATATTTTTTATTGTTCAAAACACACACACACACACACACACACACACACACACACACACACACACACACACACACACACACACACACACACATATATATATATATATATATATATAGATATTAATTAAATAATTAAGAAAGAGACAACCTTAAATGTTCCATGACTATAATTTCCCCAGAAAATATATATTTCCTGCTTCTTCAGGTCACATCTCTAGGTAACTAGATGAAATTATATTCAAGGAACCTTAAGGTCGTCTTTTTCTTAATTATTTAATTAATATTTGCCCTGGTGTTACATTGAGCTCTCTGATAATTCCAAACATCCTGTTTGGAATTATCCACACGGATTACCAAATCCTTTATTACCTTACTGAGGGAGGAGGATGTGCTTTCCTTAAAAAGGAAAAAAAATAGAGCCTTGCTATGAAGTTATTCGTGACCGAGCGATGAAACACAAACATTGGTCACCCCTACAAAGAGTGGGCGCAGCTTTAGTCCATGCCGGGAAACGTTTGAAGTAATGAAAATGTCGGATTATATGCACGCTTACTCGCTTGAAATTTGTAAACAATTTTTTTTTAACTTCGTTCTTATATTGCACTGATTTTATTTAATAATTGAGCATAATTTTATTTTTCGAATTTTACAAGGTTTAATTGTTTTACACCTACTGTTTTAATTGTTATTATACACACACACACACACACACACATATATATATATAGTTTATGCAAACTTAGGTAATCCGTATGGGTAGACCCGAGGAGGATGATATCCAGAGAGCTCAATGTAAAATTCAGAGCAAATATGTTTGAATAAAAAACAGACCACGTTAAGATTCCATGTAATAAGCTATTTCACCATAACCCCTTTAACAGGGTTCTGGATCATCAGACTTTACTTTACTTTATATATATATATATATATAATTTTATTTTTGATATTAAACAAAAAACATTTTGAATTCGCTGCACAATAACTTTCATTGCACCACTTTGTATTGAGTACATTTTAAAAAAAATGCTACGAACAAAGGGAATTTTACTTTATCTGTTCTTTCTCTCATTGGGATATATATATATATATATATATATATATATATATATATATATATATATATATGTGTGTGTGTGTGTGTGTGCCTGTGTGTGTGTCTGTGTGTACGTGCATGTGAAAAATTTCAGATAGAGTATATCTTGAAAAGGACAATACGAATAAGGACAAGGAAAAGCTAAATATATAAATATATTATATAGTTTTTACAATTCTTACATTCTTAGAGTTTTCCGTTTGATCGGAGTAAGGGAGAGTAAAAACTGTCCGTATTGTCCTGAGCGCTTTCAGCCACTTTAGCCATTTTCAAGTGGGTTTTGTTTTTAGGTGTTGTTAATCTTTTTAATCTTTGACACTTTAAGGTTTCTATCTATCTATCTATCTATCTATCTATAAAACTTTAAAGTGTCAAAGATGAAAAAAAAAAACCAATAATTATGTATTATATATATATATATATATATATATATATATATATATATATATAAAAACCTTAAAGTGTCAAAGATGAAATAAATTAACAATATATATATATATATATATATATATATATGGAAGAATATGATATATTTAACCTCTATATGTTGGTGAGTAACTGAATGACATGTTTATGTATGGCTATATATAACTCATTATAATTTATTACTACTACAATGAATTTGTATGTGAATCTTTAAAAAGCTCGAATTCTTTTTTTTTTAATATACTATAACGCAGCCACAACTTGTAGACGAAAATAACCCTCCTTCCTCGTCTACTGTGAATAAGCTCCTGCATCAGGTAGACACGCCCACGGAGAAGCACTTTTTCGCTAATGCCAAAATAGTGCGACATAAACTTCCCATTTTTTTTTTTCTAACTCTTTCTCACTCAAAAATCGTAAAAAAAAAAACCATTTTTGTTCACACTCAAAAATCGTAAAAAAAGCAGTAGACACCGAAAAACCGTAGTCATCTGTCATACACAGCATTCATTCTGCGTGTGTTGACCGTAGAATAAAAAAAAAATACGTTTTCGCGCGTGTAGAAAAACGGAAAGGACGTGATTTGAAAGCGGACATCTCAGTACTCGAGAGGAATGAAAATTTGCTGAAAGTGAATGAAAGGTAGAAAATGTCAAGAAAAGACAGAGAGAACGAGAAAGCTTTGGTCGACTTTGTAGCATCGGATTTTTGAATACTGATTTTCTAAGCAAGCAGGCCTTTCCCATTTGGAAGACTAGCGTCACACTATCTTCCTACGTACATTTCTATCCTGTTTAGCTTTCGTATGTACAAGTAAATATACAGTAGGCGCCTACTGTAGCCCGATGGTTTGTAGTTTAATGTCGTTCACCAAATCATTTGATAGTGTATTCTATCTTCCCGCTTACTAAACCATTTGATAGTGAGTTCGATATTTAGCGCTTGGTGCTGAACTAAGCATAGCTTAGTGAAATAAATAAAAAATAAAAATCTATACGAAGAAGTGATGAAAATCTGACGAAATGACCAAACATCAGCGTTTTATAAGAAGGCTTTTTTGGTCAGACAGAGAACTTTTCAGCCTGCATTTTAATCACGTATCGAACTAAGAAAATGTTTGTGACGAGAAAGAAAAAAGAAAGAAAGAAAGAATGAAAGAAAGAAAAAAGGGAGGCAATAAAGAAGCAAAATGAAATAAAGAAGACAATGAATGAATGAATGAATGAATAAATAAATAAATAAAGAAAGAAAGAAAGAAAGAAAGAAAGAAGGATGACAATGAAAAGTTACATAAAAAAGAACAGTTGGTTTCCCTTCTTGTGGATATAAACCACTGGCTTCGGAAAGTGCCTGGAATAAAAATGGACCCAGTGTCTGAAGCCAGAAAAAAAAAATATATATATATAAAAGAAAAAAAAAGAAACAGGATTAAAATACTGATTTTCTAAGCTTGCTCTCCCAACTTGAAAAATTAGCATAACACATTTTTCTCCCTTCCACATTTGGTCCACACACACACACACACACACACACACACACACACACACACACACACACACACACACACACACACACACACATTTTTCTATAAACGTTATTTTTAGTGGGTATACGAATTTGAGTTGCTATCTAGGCCTGTTGTTATTAATTTTACTATTTAAGAATATATATATATATATGTGTGTGTGTGTGTGTGTGAAAGAGAGAGGGAGAGATAGAAGTGGTTTGTGAGAAATAGAAAGAAATTAAGAATAAAATGAAAGAGTAGTGTGTATGTATGTGTATGTGTGTATGTGCGTAAGAGAGAGAGAGAGAGAGAGAGAGAGAAGGAGGAATTTAAAGCCATAGAGGAGAGGAAGCATAAAAGAGAGAAAATAAGATGGAGAGAAAGAAAAAAAACAGAGGCGAGATTACAAGAATGATAGAGTGATGGAATAGAATCTCATATAAAAGAACAGAGAGAGGAAAATATGAGAGAAACGGCGGGCGTGTGGGTGAAAGAGAGAGAAAGAGAGAGAGAGAGAGAGAGAGAGTGGGGCGCAAACAACTGATTTGGCCAAACGGAAGACAGTGGCAAAACTATTATAGCTGGGGCTAATCAGCACTGGAGACAGATATTGGGAAGAGCGGGTGAACGAGAGAAAAGAAGTTAATAAAAGAGAGAGAGAGAGAGAGAGAGAGAGAGAGAGAGAAAAGAGAAAGAGAAAGAGAGGTAAGTCGACGCATGTAGAGACATTGCATTCGTTAAGTCTAACACGTTATTCCAAAATCCTATGTATGACTCTAACATCAACAGCTCTCTGTCGATCTTAGCGCACACGCCCCCATCATCAACTACCGGGATATGCACGCCCGCCAGCTCGAGTGCGTATATGTATGTATGCGTGCACACACACACACACACACACACACGCGTGCGCACGTGCGACTCTCTCCCTCTCTCTCTCTCTCTCTCGGGCAGTGTGGCAAACGAACGCGGAAATGAAAGGGAGGAGGGGGAAATCAGTGCCTATAAACAGGATTCAAAATGAAGGCACTCCGTCGTGTAAGGAGATGACAGCGCCGAGGAACGAACTCCGACACAACGTCATTAAAGCATCTTCATTATTCTTTGCTATCTATTCTACTGGAATGAACTACTGAAGCCGCTTTCATTTTAATCCAACAGTAAGGAGTCGTAAGAAAGAAAGAAAGAAGAAACGCGACCCTCTCTCTCTCTCTCTCTCTCTCTCTCTCTCTCTCTCTCACTTTTTTCAAAAGAGCGACGCTCATCATCATCAACTTATATATTTTGCTCGATTTTTATTTCATCTCTTCCTCTTCTAGTTTTTTTTTTAATTTTCCTCTCTCTCTCTTTTCTCTGCTCTGTCCATGAGTATTGTATTCACTACGATGCTCATGTTACGATAATTGAACATGTCTCTTCCGAATTGATCACGCTTTACAACGTGATGATTTAACCTCGATACTGACAAAAACAGCGTCCGTTTGTTGATTTTGTAAACGACACACTATAAATAATTAACGTGTAAAAACATAACGTAAAAAGTTCTGTATATCAGCAAAAAATACCTGCAAGAACTACCCCATAAAAATAAAAAAAAAAATTGTAAAAATTAATTAAAAAGTGTTCGTTGAGTAAATTTTAAACTTTCTCACCTCATCCATTTTTGGCGGGAAATTATAACACGAAGAGATTTTCCTTTCATTTAGCAGATAAAAAAATAACTACGAATTAATAACACAAAAGGACAAGAAGCAATTAAGTAAAAATTACATTTTTTTGCAAATTATTTTTTTGTTTTTTAAAGTAAAACACTATTTTCTGCCACTTTTAAAAAAAGAAAAAAAAAAAAAAGAGAGACGGAAAGAAAGAAAAAAATCGAACAATTCGACATGGAGAAAGTGAATAAAAAAGAAACTACAGCCGCGTTAGACCCGAAGACGAACACAAACTCTGGCTTTTCCGTCTCGCCACTTATCCTTTGTCGAAGGGTATCATTGACACTAATTTTTTTAGCTCTAACCCTGGCCATATTGGGGTGTTCTGTCAACTACTGCGATGCTACTGCCTTATCCATGTTTCCTCATCCGTTATTACCACCATCACCTCCGGTACCGGTCCCAGAGAACCTGGTTACCCAGGCACACGACACGCGCAGTGGACTCGAGGCTCTTCTGCAACGAACATTGAATGCACTGCAACGGGCCATGTTGTTTTTTGACAGAGTTCATAAACATGTCATCCTGGATTCTACTATTGGGACACGAATTGTGGCCGGTAAGTAGGTAAAACAAAGTATTTTATTTCTCTTGTGTGTGTATCAAGCTGATTCTTTCATTTTTTTAACTTGTCTTATTTGTGTAAGCGACAGTTTAACCGTTTACCGTTGTTCCACTAGTGGAACATAATTTAAGGCATTTTCTAGATGAACATTAAATGTATTTTTAATACGATGTGTAAGCACATATTTGTTTTTTTTTCGTCTTTTCTGTGTATTTCTATTGATAAAATAATAAAATTAATGTTCATCTGGTATCAAAAATGTTTTAAAGTATGTTCCACTAGTGGGCCAATAGGCACTAAAAGGTTAATATACACGTCTACTACAATCCAATATTTTCTTGCTTTCTTGCTTTTTTTCTTTCTTTTTTCTTTTCCAGACTTCTTTCTTTTCCTGTCTTGTTTGTTTCTTTTCATTGTCTTCTTTCTTTTTGTCTCATCATTTTTCTTTGTTTGTTTGTTTGTTTGTTTGTTTCTTTCTTTCTTTCTTTGTGTGTGTGTGTAACTGTTTGTCAAGTCGAGTTAGTTTGACAGTCTATTAATTCTAGCTTAGCTTAGTCTGATCATAGGCGTCCACCTCACTTATATGACCCCTAGTAAAGATTTAACTCACTACACATACCTCGCTAGAAATATTTATAATTACTGATTATTGACTGAGAAATGACACTAGTTGTTTATTAAGCCAAGTTTAGTCAGGCACATGACCACACGTGTGTAACACCAAGCAAGTATTGAAGGTACATTATTTACGACGTTATCTTAAAAACAGCCACTATTTCATAGCGAGATCTATTTAGTAAAGCTTAGTTTGTCTCAAATTCATGATTGTGGGGAACTGAGTAAAGGTGGAAGTTGCGACGATTATAGTCTACGATGCTTCTAACGCGGGTTCTATATAGTGATTTTACAAGCGTAGCTTAGATGTGGCACAAGGCCGAAATTAGGGGGCACCCAGTGAGGATCGAACTCACTACTCAGTCGTAATTGTTCTAGCGAGCCAAGCTTGCTAACCATTACACCGCCTCGAGGTGTCCCAATGCGGGTCCTATATATCTATTTGTCTGTTTTATCTATCTATCTATCTATCTATCCTTATATTCTATCCGTCTATCAGTCTGTTAGTTCGTTATCTATCTATCTATCTATCTATCTATCTATCTATCTATTTTTGTATGTTTGTCAATTCGCTGTCTGTCTAAGTCGGTTTCAATCTATCTATCTCTCTAGCTATATATTTTTGTCTGTCAGTTCGCTATCTATCTATCTATCTATCTATCTATCTATCTATCTATCTATCTATCTATCACGGTCTGTCTGTGTGTCCAGGTAAACGGCTACTACTTTTCGATATTTTCTTGTACAACACAAATTCAAACCGAGAGTTGGAGATATGTAAATAGTTATATTCTGTGTCTGCATTAGTTTCCCAAAGTGAACACAACCTGCTTGCCTAGAAAATCAACATTCAAAATCCTTAACTCGAACACGCATTGGTGGCACACTTGGGAAATACTAAAGCTACCTCAGGCTTGTCACATATTGGTATCTACAAATCTAAGCCTAGTATGTTATAAATCGAAATAGAGGAGGTTAGATCCTGTTGCGCCAATCTTCTAAGCGGGGAGGATGTGACGATTTCGATTGTTCGTATTGGAAATTCTGGCTTTTACATGTTTACAAGCATGTCTTCTAACGTTATTGAGAAATAGACAATTGATTTGGCTACGAGGTAAACCCTTACAGATCGTTTCTTTACCTATGCTTTAATGTCTATCTGGAGTCTTAGCGGGGACCCAAGAATAATTTCGTTCAGAGAGAGAGAGAGAGAGAGAGAGAGAGAGAGAGGAGGGGAGGGAGAGAGAGCTTAATTTTTTCAAATGGAGAAGGCTAGTCTACCTTGACAACAAACCATGTTTTCACCTGATTTCAAACAGTGACGCTAATGGGAAATAACTAATCAATCAGCTGTGTATATTTGATTCAAAGAGATCTGTCTATTGTAGTAATTCTTAACGTGGGCATTAACTCTGGGATTGCTCTTAATTCTCAAAGAGGCGCGGTAAGTGTTCAGGTGAATTATGTGGAGGGACTATAATTTTAACAAAGCAGTATGACAAGTATGTGTCATCTCAGCTGACTTCAGTCAGTTATGTGCCACGCGTGATACACGCTTAGGCGATCATGTATCTTTCGATACATGACTGACACGGAAGAATTTTCCCGAAGTAGGTTGCCATTACTTTCTGCGGTAGACCAGTTGCCATCCAAGGCTAGAGAACCCAGTCTGTCCTACTATTTACCCATAGCTGGAGGGAGAAGAAGAGGTATTCATACCTTTCCCAAGGGTATTAGCACGTAAGTGAATGTAATGGATTCGACTGGTATTCAAACTCGGCTCTCCGATTCCTCAATCCGAGCGCTCTCCGATTCCTCAGTCTGAGCCTGACTTATTCAACCTTTACAGTGAAATAATCTTGAGACAATTGAAAGTCCTAATAGGATTCGTTATTGGCGCCCACAATCTTAAACAACACTAGATATACATTAAGAATTGGAAAAAGTCCGACAATTTATTAAAGACATTTTTATGTTTAACATTCTTTTTATAGATACGAGTATTTAAGTAAATGCTCTGTTTATAATAAACAGTATTAAATAACATTTACCGGCCTGAATGTCCGAGAAATTTTCATAGAAAATATTCGTCCTTTGACAGGATTCGAACCTGCATCCTATACGGAACCGTCATTTGGCCGAGTCGGTTAAGGCACGTCAGCGTAAATGACGGTTCCGTATAGGATGCAGGTTCGAATTCTGTCAAAGGACGAATATTTTCTATGAAAATTTCTCGGACATTCAGGCCGGTAAATGTTATTTAATACTGTTTATTATAAACAGAGCATTTACTTAAATACTTGTATCTATAAAAAGAATGTTAAACAGAAACACTAGATATGCAGATGACACAATATTGATAGCAAACACAGAAACGAAACTACATATATTTCTATAGAATATAGTAAAGGGAAACAAAGATAAAGGATTAAGCATCAGTTGTAAGAAGACAGAAATGCATGGTTATCAGCATAAAGAAGAGCCCAAAATGTGAATTACAAATTGGAAATACTAAAACCAAGCAAGTTCAAACATTCAAATATCTGGGAAGTCTTTTAACAGAGGACGGAAAATACGACACGAAAATTCGAAAGCGCTTTGCGATAGCGAGTGATGCCTTCCAAAGTATTAAGAAACAAGAAATCTCGCTAGAAACAAAGAAAAGAGTATTTGACTGTTATGTCAATCTCAATGACAGATCGAGAAGAAACTTGAGGCAACAGAAATGCGGTTCGATAGAAGGATATTTAGAATATCATAGACTGAACATGTGAGCAATGAGGAAGTGTTAGAGAAAATGGAAACAAAAAGGACACTAAACATCAGAAAGACAAAGTTG